AAAAATTATTTCTAAACCGTTCCCCGTTGCCTTCGCTTGCAAACCTGTCTGACAGCGGTGATTAGCAATCAGTATTCGTGCAATCCGTAATGCGAAAACCATGTACCTTCCTTTACTCTGCATCAGTCGGCAATGGAGTTTAGGCAAAGACAGAAATGACTTAGATCTCTTTTTATGGTAAGTCAGCTGCTGTCGGCTGGGTCTCGGTGGCATGTGACTCAAAGTCTGTTTCTCTGCTAAGCGAGCGAAGCATTCTAGGATTTGGAATTGTGTCGGCGACTGGGTGTTTCGTTATTTGCGATTGGGGATGTTTCAATCGTAGGCAGTTACACTCGCTCGTCGTGTAATGGAACATCGACGATCTGTTGTGCTTAAGTGTAAATATGTAGTGACAGTAGTATTAATTTGACGTTTAGTGCAGAATTTCATAATACATTTAAATGGCATATTAACTGATTTGCTTTTAAGAGCTAGATAAGCAAAAGAACAACCTTCGAAGTTAGATGAGCAATAAAGGCAACTGAGAGTGAAATAATTATTTTAGGCATATTAGCCGTCATCAGCCGGTCATAGCTACCACCTAACTTTTGCTAAACCTGCAGGTCAAACACACGTTCTGCTTGACAGACGTTCGGGTCATTAACCACTATATCATGGGCCCGTTTTCGTATTAGAATGCGATTGTTATTTTAAGTTTATTAAAATGACTTTTAAATATAATGTGCGCTTATGTGCAGGAATTTGACATTGTTCTTCTCTTGCCCCCTAAAATAATGGCAACTTACTTCGATATTTTCTTTGGGATGCAAGTAAGGCTTTTCAATAGAAAATGGGATGGGCCGCAAATTTCTGTGCCCAACATGTATCGGAGTTATTCAATATATACATCCTTTTACGGCTTGCCCGAATAATTCATTTAAACAAGGAAAAGTCGATGCAATATTTAAATGTTTTGATAACCGACTAGGCTCTGCACTGTGAGTAGCAATTTACAGACGGCCTTGATCTTTGTAAATAGTTTATTTTACGTTCGAAAAACCGGAATGCGGACATGGAAAGAAAGAGCAAGTAGTGCTTTTGCGTCCTTTTCTCACAGATAAGCACCGCTGTAACCGTACTGTCGAATAAAAGGCATGGGAAACTTACCATGAGGGCAAAGAGTTTCCAGATAGCATACTCGATATAAATATATATAAATGAAAAATAGAAGACATTCTTCGGGAAAGTCGAGTTGTACTCGTGAAGTTTCGAACTGGTGACATCAACCCGTTGTCAGACCAAACAAAAACAATCGAGAAAGTTTGGTTGTCACAGCAGACTAGTTGGTGTGATAGGACAGACAGAGCACTGATGTGTGAGGGAGGCTCTAGAGGTCATGGTAGGTCCCTGAGTGACGGTGGTCGTATTCGAGTGCATGGGCAAAGACAAGAGACAGGGGTTCTCGCCGACGGATATCTACTTTCTGTTCGTTGATACGGGTGCCCAGGCATCGACCTGTATGACTAACATGCACGCAAGAGCAATTATCTCTTCGTTTCAAACCGACGTTGCCGAATGTAAAAGGGTAACTTATTGCGCGTAAATACGGATGGCGTGTTTTGAGTGCTGTAATGTCTGACGTCCACAATCCCCTCCGCAGATTCGAATTAAATTTACTGACCTCAAATATCAGTGTCCTTCAGCGCTACCTGAAACCGTATTCAAAGGTGCGCAACAAAAAAGTAACGCCATCATCAAGGATGCAAGATTGAAGAAGAGACTTGATCTCCAGGAGAATTTCCAATTACTTTTCCCTCCTACGAACCAAGGGAATTTGACCGCAAGAGCTGTCAACCTATCGAGGTGGAGTCTCTCACCTGTGGAAATCTCCCTCCTATCAAAGAGAATAGGATTTAATCATACGTATGCCACACCTATCGACTTGCTTGCTGGGCTTGAATCCATTCTACTGGCCTCCAACCTTCCGAAAGTCATGCGCGCGAACATACAAAGCTGCGCTACCGGTGTCCTCCGACAAAAAATATACCAACATAATCCACCGGCCACAGAAGCGCAAGGATTCCGATTATTGAAGTCGGATCACAGTATTGTTGTCGGTTCCGCTGACATGGGTGGCGCTATGGTCATCATGGACAGAATTGAATGCGTTAACTAGGCGAATGAAATATTCAGTGACATGTAGATTATATTCTTCTCGCCGAAGACCGACGAAATACCAAGCCGCAGCCATCAAGAACAAGGTTAATGACCTCGCTCGCCTGAAAGATATCAGTCCAGATGACGCCAAGTTGATGACCCTCAATGATTCGCCCATCGCACCTGCGTATGCACACGGTGGACGTCCCGCTGAGGATTATAGGTCCACTCATCGGATTACCCACTTACAATATAGCTAAGTGGGTATACAGCCATATGAGGCGGCTTACTTATGGATCGGACTTCAGCATCAACAAATCTCAAGCATTCCTCCGCAGGATACGAGGCCTCGAAGTAAGTACTGATGAATGCTTTCTGTCCTTTGAAGTCGTTGCCTTGTTTTCTTCTATACAACACGATTTGGCAATTGAATGCGTAGCCCAACGCTTACAGAAAAATCCTACTGAGATCCTAACACAGCACGTTATAGAGCTGCTGCATCTTTGCCTTAGGAACTATTGTTGATTCAATAATAGGTACTACCAACATGTAAAGGGAACTTCAATGGGCTCACCAATAACAGGACTGCTTGTCGAACTACTGTTGCAG